ATGTTCCTTTGCTTTATAGTATCTATTCATAGATGACCGAACTTGTTTACTACAACTGGAGGCCCCATTTCCTTTTGTTGTTTTTCCCTGTTGACTTATCTGCTTAAGTTCAAGGTCTTTCAGTTTTCTTTTTCCTGAGAGTTTTGGTAATTTGTCTTCCCCTCCAGTTTTCCCCTACTGCTCCCTTTTTGACTTCCTCCCTCTGATAGTCATTTCCTTGGGGGTTAGGTCCCCAAAAGTCTCAACTTCCTCTTATGTTGGGCAATTCATGGCTCACCAGTCTAGGTCTTTGCCCATTACTTTGGGTGGATAGAACTGGCCCCAGCTGATGTTGAGCTCTTTCCCAAGGGGTTAGTGGAGTGCTGCACAGCCACTTCTCCTCACCCCAACTCACAGTGTTCTATCCTGGTGTTCTATGCTGCTCCCTCTGTTCCTCAGTTCTCTGGCTCAGCACCTAAAGTTCAGAGCACTGTTAAGCTGGCTACTGGGTTGATGTCTGTAGTTTGGGTTTCTGAAGCTCTGTGAGGTGAGGTGTGTTGTTGAGCCCTATTTCAAGATTAGACATTTATTTATCTTGCCCCTTTCCCTCTGTTCCCGGTTTCCCGAAGAGATCTTTTGCAGCACAAACCACTGAATGTCTGTGCTGGCTGTTAAGGTGCAGTCTACTGTGGCCCAAACAAGCTTGTACCCCTGGAGCATTATCCAGATGACCTTTCGTGAGATCTCCATAACACAGGAAAGAGAAAGAGGGAAACAGGCGTATCAAGTCTTTGGGTCAGCTAGTAATAATGTGGGAGGTGGCAGGGTGGAATGCTGTTTGTTCATGGTAGGTATTGTTAGCTGATATTTTTTCTTTTTTAATCATCTTTTAGATTCAGTGTCCTAGGCCAGTGGTATCAAACTCAAATGGAAGAGTTAAGTCCCCCATATTGACTTAGAAAACCACAAATTAACATTATCTATATTGTATTGTATTGTATTTTGTCAAGATTTTCCAATTACATTTTTATCTGCTTCAGGCAGTACTGGGTAGTTTTGTAGGCTCCTTCAGCTGCTATTTTACACCTCTGTCCTAGACCATGGAGACAGCTGAAGTTGGTCTATTTTTGGCACATAATTCCTGTTTTGGAGAGGTTTGAAAGGTTGGTGGGTCAGAAAATATATCTAGTCCTCCATCTTATTGGTCACTATATATTAGTATTTGTTAACCAAAATTTATGTATCAAATATCAGACTTTTATCCAAAGAGTTCAAGATAAAAAAGCATCTTCTGACTATCTCCAGCTTGACTGGTACTACTGGAACACATTTCCTAACCTGATTTTGTTACTCTCAGTTCTTAGGTGGCTTGCACAATTGCATCATTATGTAGTAAGCTGTATCCTGGCCTCTGACTGCCTTGGCAACTACTCGTTAGTGATCAATATACTACTTAGACCAGATTTCCTCAAGCTAAGAATGGTTTTTAAATTTTTAAATACAATGAAACTTTAGTTTAAAATGTAAAAACCATTCTTAGTTCAAGGATAAAAAAAAGGCAGTAGCCACATACTCTTGCTGTAGTTTGCCAGCTTTTGATTTAGATCATTAAAATTATGTTTCCCTTAGAAACTGACTAGTTGGTGTACACACAAGCGTACCCAGGAGTGTGAATGTATGAAAAAACATTTATCAGACACTTACTATGTGTCAGGCAGTGTGCTCAGTACATGGATTGACTGATAACATGACCGTACACAACTTGGATAGGAAACAGGCAGAAGGGAGAAGGGGGGGGTAGGGCTGAAATGGGAAGGAATGAGGTGGTAGAGCTACATATGGTGGTAACAGTCAACAAAGCCTCAATTCCTTTTTAAAGGGAGAGTAATTTTGTTCACTTTTCACCTCAATATAATGCCACATATAGATACATAATGCTGGATACCACATACTAGGTGATCAGGTAGAACTACAATTAAGTCTCAGAAATCCAGATTTTCCTTTCTGATATATTCACCACCTTCTATATATTTTTTGAAATGTACCTTTTAATTCAGATTTAAATAGGTATGCTTCATTTGTGCACTAATTGTGCTATCACAGAGGGTAATAAAATTCTAAAGAAACTTTTTTTTAAATTAAATTTTTTTTTCAAAGAACAAAAATCTTTCTCTATCCTAGCCTCCTCCTACAGTTAAAAAAAAAATCCCTTTTATTGAATGTGTGCAGCTAATAAAAATAAATTCCTACATTTGCAGTGTCCAAAAAATATGCTACACTCTTCACCATTAGTACATCACCTCTTCATCAGGTAGCTGGAAGCAAGTTTCATTATTGGTCTTTTGAAAAACTTATGAATTAAGCTTTCCAAGAAAGATTGGTATGCTAGAGAGAGTAGAGTTCTGGGCGAATGGAATAAAGTCACTGATTTAATGTAACTAAATTTCACTTTGTTGTTGTTATAAAACCAGCTAACATCATAAAAACCAAAGAGGAAAAGGAAGAGAGCCAGAGGGAAAGGAGTTCAAAGTGAATAGGGGGAAAGACATAAAAATCTTTTATTAAAATGTTGGAACTCATTACTGACTCTCCTTTCTTTTAGGAAAAGAGTGGGTGATCAGCTATTATATCTAATGCTTATCATCCAAAGGTTGAAACATATTGAAACATCAAGATTAGCACTTCAGAAAAGGAAAAAAATAAAAGGCTCTTTCTTCCCCAATGACAACCAAAATCTTAGTTCCTAGTCTTCTCCACATAAAAGTATCATATTCTCAACAATAGGAGCACACTTGAAATCGTAAGGCACTGATCAGACTTAAGCCCCAATGATGATTAAATCTGAAGATCTCTTCAAGCATGTCACCTTTTTTTTTGTTAGGCTAATTGGCAAATGTTAGGCAATTAGGGTTAAGTGACTTGCCCAGGGTCACACAGCTAGTGAGTGCCAAGTGTTTGATCTGAGGCTGGATTTGAACTCAGGTCCTCCTGACTTCAGGGCTGGTGCTCTATCCACTGCGCCACCTAGCTGCCCCACATGTCACCTGTTTTACAATGACACTGGAACCTCAGTTGGATGGAGTCCACAGACCAGATCACGTCGTAACTCATAACACTCTATATAGTATTATAGAATACAGTTTGAAAGATACAACTCCCTCTCATCTTTGCAGAGGCAGGAAAATAGGGATATGGACATTACAAATACTGTGAGACATGGTTGATGCGCTATAGTTGATTTAGCTGAACTGTTTTTTTTTTTCCTCTTTGTTATTAAGGATAATTTGCTATATAAAGGAGATGGGGAGAAACATGGTTGGAAATGAAGATGTAAAAACAAAATAAAAAATAAGATTAAGAGAGAAAATAAAATGTTCCATAGTGAGTCTTTATGACAGTACTTCTTCAGTAGTTTATCCCTACAGATAAAAGGTCCGGAGGCCTACAGCTATACAATAAAGACCTTATTGTTCTAAATGCTGGCATGAAACAAAGAAAATGTTTTACCACCTGTCATCCGTGGGTATTTTTTTTTTTAACTCAAGGAGTGGAGGAGGATATTGTGAATATGTTCCAAGACACCACACTCTGCTGGTTTAATCCCAGTTTTTTCCCACCACACTTCATTATATTGTGGAGGGATTCTTTAGAGATCTATTATCTAAAAGTTTTGGGGGGAAAAATTGGGAGTCCAACATGACTTTGCATTGAAATAAATTCTTTGCTATACAGAAGTGAATTAGAGTAGGAGGTGCTACAAATCTCAGTGGGTAACATTAACTGAAGTGGATTATTGGTGTTACCCACAAAATATATACTCATGATAACCCTTACTAGTGTCAGTTCCAATAAATAAGAGAGATTTGTTCATTTTGCATCTGTAGCTCCTGCTACCTTTTTTAAAGGGTACAAATGTAGATTTTTGAAATTGTTTTGAAGGAACAAATGTTTTCTTACTACAGCCCTTGCCCTTAAAGTTACCTTCCATCTACTCTGTATATATCTTGTATGATGTAACTATTTATATATGTGCTATAAACTGCTTTAAGGTAGGGATTGTTTTTGTTTCTATTTATCTACCCAGAGCTTAGCACAGTAGCTGGCATAGAGTAAGTGCTTAACAAATGTGTGTTAATGGATTGAATAAACGCAATAAAATGAGCTGTGAGAAAACTAGGAATAGGTTTAGAAGTCCAATTGCAATAATTAAGAACTGGTTCCATTCAAGACAAAAATATAAAATCTTGTCCAAGTAAAGAAAAAATTACATTTTTTTAAAAAGTAAAAAACAAAGAAACCAATTACATGACAGATCTTTCTGTTCCTATGAATCTTTCAGTAAATGATTCCTAAATATTTTGTATACATCAGCTAAACTTGGCTAGTAGGATCAAGCCGGGAAACAGCAGAATTCCAAAGACAGAACCTATTATATTTCCAAATGGCAACTTGTTTGCTTTAGATAATGTGCCCTAAAGGTCCAAAAAGACATTTTGCATTTCATAGTGATCACAAATATAATAACTAGCATGATTCTTACCTAGATAAGAAAAATGAGGCCGAGGTTGTACAGAGCTAATCCAAAGACACAGACATAAAAACTTACAGTCTGATTTTTAGTCCCTATTTAACCTAAAGAAAAAAAATACTGCTTATATGATCATAGTCCAGAGCTAGAAGAGACCTTCAAAGACATCTAGTCCAACCCTTTCATTTTATAAATAAGGAAACCAAGGCCTAGAAAGCTTAGTAACTTGCCCAACAGAGCCAGGATTAGAACCCAGGTCCTCTGACTACAAATCTGGTTTCCAAGTCTGTGTTCTATTATTGTGTGATTCCGAGAGTCTGGATCTTTCAAGAGTCTGTTATTGCAGAAAGATAAGGAAAACCAGTTATTTGGTTAGTATTAGATAGTCTACAACATACAAATTACCACAGGCAAGTATAATCTCATTCAAATGAATGAGATACTCTGCATCTTGTCACAAAGATATCCAAATGAAGTCACTCTACCACAAGGATAACAGTAGTTCTTAAAGTTCTGTTTTCAAAGGTTTGGGAGAAATTTTGCTATAGTCTTTCTTTTTCTTCACTTTGTAGGACAAAGCTTTGGAATATTCAGTCAACAAAATCTTCCAGTAACAGGAAATGTCATCCATCTGCAAGTGGTTGACGATAAATTGTCGTCCCCTGTAGGCAAAAGTGATAGCATGACAAGTCAATCATTAATGGAAATTGTGAAAAGAGATTTTTAAAAAATGTTTTCTAAAAATCTGATGTCTAGGAAAGGCTAAAGCCTGGCAGATTCAAAGATAGGCCAGCAAAGTATAGGTTGCTAAGGGTAGAACCAATGTGTTTTGTTTGTATTGTTTTTATAGGATGGCTTTAATTTTCATTCTAAGACACACAAAGAAAGAGCTCTTTATTTTCTCTAAGAAATGTCTTAACAAGGGTACGCATTACTTCCTTTTTTTTTTGTTTTTGGTGAGGCAGTTGGGGTTAAGTGACTTGACCAGAGTCACACAGCTAGTAAGTGTTACGTGCCTAAGGCCACATTTGAACTCAGGTCTTCCTGACTCCAGGGCCGACACTCTATCCACTGTGCCACCTAGCTGCCCCAGTACATATTACTTCTCCCAACTTTCATTCCTCCACTGAATTACTCAGTAGAAATTATTTTTTGTTTGTTTTTTTTTTAAGAAACAGAAAGACTCTTTGTTCTACTTCCAAAACCACAGGCTAGCTAGCTCCCTTGAATAAGGATGAATCTTTATCAAGAGCAGGTATTCTTAACCTGGTCTACAGAGAGATTTCAAAGGTCCATGAACTTGTGTGTAAAAAAAAAATTGTGTAAAAAAGCTGCAACTTCATTTTCACTAATCTCTAACTGAAACTTAGCTTTTCCTTAAATTATAAATGTAGGCAACAAACCTTATTTCACAGGCTTCACTAGACTGTCAAAAGGGTACATGACACAAAAAAGATTAAGCACCCTTGATACAGAGCATACTGGAAATGATAGGGAAGTAGTAAGCAAGCCAAGTTAAAAAGCATTTATTAAGCACTTACTACATGTTCCCAGCAGTGCTAAATGCTGGGAATATAAATACAAGGAAAAAGAAAGATGCTTCCTCTTCTCAAGAAGTATACATCCTGGGGCCGCTAGGTGGTGCAGTAGATAGAGCAGCGGCCCTGAAGTCAGGAGGACCTGAGTTCAAATCCAGCCTCAGACCAAACACTTGTCATGTGCTAGCTGTGTGACCTTGGGCAAGTCACTTAACCCCAATTGTCTCACTAAAAAAAAAAAAAAGAAGAAGAAGAATACATTCTAATTGGGGAAGATAACACACAGAAAGGAGCTGAAAAAAACAGGAGGGTGGGAAATAGAAAGAAAAAATTTGGAAACAAAACTTACCTCTCAGCAATCTCTTGGGCTAGATCATCATTTTCCTTCACAAACTGTAGGAGTTCCCTAAAATGAAAACAACTATATAAGACTATATCAAACATGGACAGTACAAATGGTGTACTTCTAATGGAAGACAGGGATATCACAGATATCTGAAGGTCACAAATAGCTCTAGAACTGTGGGGTATCAGGTACTCTCCTTAAAGAAGAGATGGGGAAACATTTATCAAAGGCCATGAATGAGTTAAAAGCTACTTAATTTAGGGTAGCCATGTTCTCCCCCCCAAATATAAAATGTTCAATTCACCTATATTGAAATAAAAGACAAGGACATGTCAAAATTTAGTATTCAATAAATACAACAAATAAAACCATGATGCAGTTTTCTGTTAGAATTAATTAAGGCAGAGAAAAGAAAAAGCAAAGTGGGGTAAGGCTGAGGGATTGAAGAGAAGACTGAAACACTGAAGGGAGAGATAAGAAGAGAAACAAGGAAGGCTAGTAGAAGGGGCCAATAGGTTTTGAGGTAAACTCTTCTTTTATACTCAGCTGGGCTGTGGGTATCATGGTAATTTATCACTAATATCTGAAATTCTGATTAGCCTCAGGCCATTTGGAGTCTTCCTTTATATGACAGGGAATCACTATTCTTATTTTTTAATTTTTCAAAACTTACTTTTGAAAAGCCTCATTTTTTTCCCCATGGAATTCTAAAGATCATATACATATGAAGGAATGACTTAGAGGTTTTTAGAAATTTATTCTGGGCCATTTGAGATATCAATTTGCAAGCTACATCTTAAAGTCCCTTTGACGACTTAAGAGATCAGATTGGTGTATTTTTGCTCTCTTAAGAAATTAGCACTGGCCTATTTCACAATGCTTGAATGAATTTCTACTAGACTAAAATGTGCTCTTCTAGGATGCAAGTTCCTTGAGAATAGAGATTATTTTTTATTTATCTTTGAATCCTCTTTAGCATCTACTACAGTGCCCTTAATATACATAACAGGTACTGAGCAACTGATGAATAACTGAACAAATCAGCCAGCATTCTTTCTGTGGTCTCTGCCTTTTTTTCCCCACACCAAATTTAGTCTGGAGTCCAACTAGTGTAGTAGTGAAATAATATGTATCTGTGACTCAAAACAGCCAAAATAAAAACGTCCTTTAAAAAAAGAACCTTCAGAAATAAAAGGGAGAGGTAAAATCAATAGCAGCCAACTGACATAACAGCAGCCCCATACCTGACATTGGAGAGGTCTGTATTGACTGGGATGTAGTGAACCCATGGCTTCAGCTGTGCATAGAAGAATTCCTGCCATTCCTCACCTACGTGGAAGACTAGTGAGCCGCACAGGAAGAGGTGTTTGAACCGGAAACTTGCAGCTACGCCCCGAAAATTAAACAGATATCTGAAAAAGAGAAAATTGGCATTAAATACTTCTAGACACAAATGGCAACTTTTTACTCTTTTGTTCATCTCTTCTTTTCTCCCATTGATCATGTCTTTCCTGTTTTTCCTCTCTTCTTCCCTACTTCTCCTATTTCTAAATTCTGCTGCAGTCTCCCTTATTCCTTTTAGGTAGCTTTCAACTCTGGCCACATACAACCTTTTCTCTGGTTCCCTATATGACCAGGCCCCAATTTTAAAAATGGTCTGAGCAAATGTTTGCTTGAATTGTGGTCCAAAGGAGTTTTAGAACAGTTATCAGTAAAGATCTCCACCAACTTTATCTTATACTGAATATTATGATTTTGCTCTTAAATCCCAGTCGGGCCTTGAGTATTGGAGCTGACTCACCAAGAACTAATGCATAAATCAATATTGGGAGAAATGGACATGTCTAACTGAAGCCTTACTTGTACTTGCAGTGATCCACAAGTGGGACTTCCTTAGCAGGTGGTTTTCCAAGAGTATCCTTTAAATTAGAAAGAAATTTTTAAAAATTAATTTCAATGTAATTCATTTTTTAATAATTTCTGTTGAAAAGTTATGGATTGCCAGTTCATGAGTAACTGATCTATTTCAAATTCTTGACTCGCAAAGATAACTGTGTAATCATAGCACAGAGAGCTATAATTTAAGGACATCAAAAAATGAATAGAAAATGGATGAAATTATATAGCAGCAGAAATAATCCACTAAAGGAAATAGTATGTAACCACTGATCTACTTAATTACAAAATCATTGTCGTAAAGGTGATGCTCTGCCCAGAGTCTAAAGGAACAGTCCAAAAGTAAAAATTTTCCAATGATTGTTTGCCTAAGACCGTTCAGGGGTGCAGAATGCCCTGATTCTGGATAACTAGTATTATTTCTTTAGATGAAATATCTCTGAAATGGAGGCTAATTCATTACTTCCCTAGTTACCCTAATTGAATGGAAAGAATCTTTATTTGTAATTTTTAAAAAATAGATTGTATCCATATATAGTGTTTTAAGGTTTACAAAGCTCTTTCCTCATGACAACTTTGAGAGGTAAGAAGGCAGGTAGGAAGGCGGCAGGTAGATAGGTAAGGTAGGTAATAGTATCGCCATTTTACAAATGAAGAAACAAGGGGCAGCTTGGTGGCGCAGTGGATAGATCACTGGCCCTGAAGTCAGGAGGACCTGAATTCAAATCTGGCCTCAGACATATAACACTTACTAGCTGTGTGACCCTGGGCAAGTCACTTAACCCCATTGCCTAGCCAAAAAACAAAAACAAGAACAAATAAAGAAACAATTGCAGAGAGATCATTTACATATGCTAGTAAAGGACAGGGAAAGAAATCAAAACCAAGTCTTTCTGACTAGGTCAGGAATTTTTAATCTGGGGTCCACAAATACATTTCAGGGGGTCTGTGAGTTTGGAGTGGGGAAAAAAAGCTACATCTGTAATTCAATACAATTTGTTTCCTTTGTAATCCTATGTATTTTATGCATTTAAACACATGATTCTGAGAAGGGGTCCATAGGCTGCACTAGACTGCTAAAAGAGTCAATGACACAAAAAAGAATAAGAATCACTGGACTAGACCCAGTGCTGTTTCTATTAAATAAGCTGCCTTAACAACATCTAACTCCCTTTGCTTACCAAACAACCATTTGGTCTCTGGAGTGGATTTACTCACCCAGAGGAAGGGACTTGCACAGATGACTGGTATGGATTATCTTACCAGGTATTTTTTCCATCACAAATTAGTAATTCTGTTTTACTTATTAGTTTTAGGAATCTGATTATTCCTAAAAGTCTGATCACCACTCAGTGTGTAAACCTTGAAATTTTAGAATCTTGAAGTAAAAAGATTCTAATGGAAGATGTTCCATTAACAATCCCAATATGAGCATGCATTTTCATTCTCTCAGTTTCTCTCTCTCTTTTCCCCTCTCCCTTCCTTTCCCCTCTCCCTACCCTCCTCCTCATCCATTTACATCAAAATTAAAAAGCCCACAACCCTCTCAGCTTCTCCAAACTGAAACAATCCTTGTAGCAAGGAAAAACAATTACATAACAACTACTTGATAAAAGGATTGCCTCTGATGATATATACAACATTCTCGCCTCATAGTTCCCTCCCTCTTTGCCATGAGGAGAAACATGTGTTTCTTCATTTGTTCTCCAGGACCATCATGGGTTCCTCATTTACCCAAAGTCTATCTTTCTTTTAGATATTCTTTTATTTTCACTGTTACAGTCATCAAGCACATTTTTATCCTTTTTTTCAGTTCATTTAAAGCCTCCTATGCTTCTCTGAATTGTTTATATTCATAATTTCTGACAGTACAATAATATTCTATTATATTCACATACCTTAGGTTTTTCTTCAGCCATTCCCCAATCAATAGATACCCATTTTGTTTCTGGTTCTTTGTTATCGCAAATTGAACTTCTATGAATATTTTGGCAAATACTGGAGCTTTGTTTCTGTCTTTGACCGCTTTGGGATATATGCCCAATAGTGAAATCTCAGGGTTAAAGAGTATGGTCATTTTAGTCACTTTTTTTTTTTTAAGTATAATTCCAAGTTGGTATCCATAAAGGTTCAACTGATTTCCAGCCCCACAAACAGTAAATTAGTGTGCCTGTCTCCCCACAGAACTGATTGTTTCTGATTTTTGCCATCTTTGCTAATCTAAAGGGTCTGACACCATGGGATCATAGATCTAAAACTGGAAAGGACTTCAGAAATCATTTAGTCCAACCGCTACATTTTACAGATGAGGAAACTGAGTCTAAGGGAGGTTTGTAACCTCAAAGTCATTTTAATTTATATTTCTTATTAGTAATCATTTAAAGCATGTTTTCAAAAGTTCATTTAAAATTTCTAATTATTCTGAAAACTAATTCATAGTACTGGGGAATAGCCCTTATGGTATTATATGTTTGTGTCAACTCTATGTCTATACTGATTGGATATCAGAGTTTTATCAGAGATATCTGATGCAAAGTTTTTGCCATTCTCAGGTTTTATTTTTACTCTTTCTGTTGGTTTTATTTGTGCAAAAGCTTTTTAATTTCATGTAATTAAAACTGTCTATTTTGGCTAAGAAATTTAGGGGGAGAAAGGTACGTCCTCTCATTCTCTTTTATTTTTTAATGATGTGACCTTTTATATTCATATTATATTTAAGTGGAAGCTTGGCATACTGGATAGAGTGCTGACCCTGGCATCAGGTAGACCTGGGTTGAAATCCCAACTCAGATATTTACACTAGCTATATGACCCTGGACAATTCATTTAAACTCTTTCAACTTTAGGTTCTTCATCTGTCAAACTTTATGAGTACCTACTTCACAGGGTTATTGTGAGGATCAAATGAGAAAATATGTATGTATATATGTGTGTATACACACACACACATATATATATATATATAAAGTGCTTTGCAAACCTTAAAGAGCTCTATATGTTATCTATTTAATGATTCAGGTTATATATCCACTGGAAGCTTACTGTGACATTATAATATGTTGATTTAAACCTAAATTCTGTCAAACTGCCCTATTTCCCCCCCCGCCAGGTTTCCTAGTAGTTCTCGTCCTAAAAGGGAGTCCCTTCTCTATGATTTATGTCCCCAGCTTTATCAAATATTGAGCTGTTTTCAAATAATTCTGTTTTTTTGCTTATATAATCTGTACCACTATTTTTCTGTTTTATAACCAGTAGTAAACAATTTTTATAAGTTATGTCTTTATAATACAATTTGAACTTTGGTAATACTATGTTCTCTTATATTTGTATTTTTTTCCTCGTTATTTCCTTTGAGATTGCAGACCTTTTATTTCTCCAAATGAGAGTGACATGTAAAAGGAAAATAATTTTAACTGTAATGCCTGGTGTTGGTGACTTGCATGCTTTATCACTGGTACTCTGGAATCTTGGTCATTGCATTGATCAGAGTTCCTAAGTCTTTTAAAGTTGTTGTTTTTCTTTATAATGGTATTGTTATTGTACTCTACAGATTGTGCTCACTCTACTCTACATTGGTTCACACAGGCCTTCCCAGGTTTCAAAAGATTTTGTTTACCTGTCACATTCTAGCCAGTGTTTGTTTCTCCAAGAAATTAGAAGCATTCCTGGCAGACAATATCAACATTTTGACAAATGAAGGCATATATGACACACACTTTCATTCCATAATAAAAGCTTCCAGGAATAATGCTGACTTAATTTGCAGTATTAACCAAAAAATGGTCTCCTTAGTAACAATAACTGATATGTTAAATGGTATCCATCTTCATCCTACCACCCAAAGAAAATCTAGCTTGGAGTTCCATGCAAAGAACAACATCCATTGCACTAAATCTGTCAATAATTACTTTCTCAGATTTCCAGGCCTGATTCTTAGTGTACTCTGCATCAACGAGTCCTGGGTTTTCCCGAGATAGAAGAATTAGGGGATCTCGCTCTGGACTTGTCCTATAAAAGAAACAGATCATATAAAGTCTTCTGAAGTTCTCCATAATGACTACTAGAGAGTAATAAAAAATAATATGACATTTATGTAGCATTTTAAAACAGCTTATATACATTATTGAGGATAACAGTACTTATTTCATAGGGTTATTGTGAGGATCAAATAATATATATATAGTGCTTTGCAAACCTTAAAGAGCTATACATGTTAACTATTATTACTAATAAGATAATCACTCATTATCTTGAGCCTCATACAACCCTGCAAGGGAGGTATTGCAAGTATGGTTATTCCCATTTTCCAGATGAGGAAAAAGGTTAATTTTAATTAATGGTATTTCTTTAAAAACTTAAAAACAAAATTTAAATAGTTTTTTATTTGCGATCTTTGACTGATGTTTTCCAAAGGGGGGAAAACAAAAGCTCACTATTCCTGTTTATATTCATTGTTGAAAACAAAAAAGTACTAAACAAGCCTCTTTTTCCTCCTTGCTTGTGTCCTGAACATGAGGATAACAAGTGATGTTATTATCACTGAACTTCCAAAAAAGCTACATGCTTGCTTCATCTATCCAGATATGAAATTCTTATGTGATAGAATCAATCAATGTTAGGGTGAATGTCTCACGGTCTCATGAGAACTCTGTTGAGGGAACTTTCCCATGGGAGTTCTAGCTTCTATCAGTAGAAGCTGAGGGTCACAACATAGTTGCGTGGCAAAAATAAGGAAGTCTCCCAGGACCTCTCCTTTGCTGACATGCAGCTCCCACAGTTGGTTTGGCTCTCCTCTCACTGGGAGATGAGTCCTGACACGAGCTCCAGCAGACCTGATGATTGGCTATCACAGGGGGATCACGCTTTGAACATGCATCACTAGGGCCATAAAAGACAGCTAACTGCAATCAATAAACGGAGCTTCTGCCACCTTGCTGTCTCCCGCCTCATCCATGCGTCTCGGGGTTACAGAGCATTGAGCTGGTCTCATGCTCATCACTGCAGCGGCCGCGTCAAATCAATCAAGTGCTTGTTAGACACTGGGGATATATACAAAGAATGAAACATTCATTTCTTGGAATCACTTTTAGTCTAGCTTCTACCACTAATTGAATGAAGAGATACCAGTTGGGCAAGACACATCTCATCTCTCAGACTCAGTTTGTCTCATCTGAAAATAATGAAATTATATTAAATTATCTCTTAGGCTCCCTTCAGCTCTGACATTCAGTGGTTTCCAAATGAAAATCTGTACAGTACCTTTGCTACATATGACTGAATCTCAGAATAGGAAATACCCAATATACCCTATATCTGAACAAGAGAATAGCTCTATGGCATCTCTGACAAGTGTTTGTCCAAGATCAGTCATAGAAAAGTGCAGCCCATCGCACTTTTGGATAGCTGTAATTATAAGTTTTTCCTTATATGGAGCTGCAGTCTGCTTCTTTGCAATGCTCACCCACTGGTCCTAGTGCTGCCATCAGGGGCAATAAAGATCAAGTCTAATCTACTACAGAATAACTTCTCACGTCCAGATGAAATAGCCTTAGTTCCTTCAACCACAGCTCATATAGCATGATCACTAAACTGCTCTAACCAACCCAATTGCCCTCCTCTGGATGTGCTCCAGTTTCGTCAATGTCTTTCCTACAATGTGAACGAAACACAATACTACCAGGGTGGTTTGTCCAGGGCACAGTGCGATGGGACTTTCGCCTCATTATTTTGACACTATGCCTCCCTTCAGTTAGTCTAAAAGCACATTAGCTTTTTTGGTTAGCCAGCTCATCTGTTGACTCGATGAGTCATCAAATTCAAATATGGCCCTCGGATCTCTTTCATTTGAATTGTTGCCTAAACATAGCTTCTCTCTACTTATCCCTATACTTGAGAAATTGATTTTGTAATCCAAGTGTAAAATTTTGAATTTATCCTTTAATATTGCATCTTCTCTTACTCAGTCTAGGCAGCTAGATGGTATAGTGGATAGAGTACTAGGTCTGGAGTAAGCAAGACCCAAGTTCAAATCCAGCCTCAGACACTTACTAGCTATGTGATCCTGGGCAAGTCACTTCACCCTGTTTGCCTCAGTTTCCTCATCTGTAAAATGAGCTAGAGAAGGAAATGGTAAGCCACTCTAGTATCTTTGCTGGGAAAATCCAAAATGAGGTCATGAGTCAGACATGACTAAAACAACTGAACATTCAGCCTATCTTCTAGTTCATCTGGGTCTTTTTGGATCCAGACAAACATTCCATATGTTCATTAACTTTTGTGGCTTTGTGTCAATGGCAAATTTGATGTTTGCCTTCTATACCTTTATCCAAATCCTTGATTAAAAAATGTTGAATGACATAGGACCAAAGAGGGATTCACTCCTAGAAAGAACTCTCCCCGTGCTGACAATCACCCAATAATGATTATTCTTTGGGTCTGATCATTCAACTAGATTCAAACCTACCTTAATTATTATATATTCCAGGGGTAGGGAACCTGTGGCCTTGAGGCCACATATGGCTTTCTAGGTCCTTGGGTGCGGCCTTTTGACTGAATCCAAGTTTTACAGAACAGATCCTTTTATTAAAGGTATTTGTTCTATGAAGTTTGGATTCAGTCAAAGGGCCGCACTTGAGGACCTAGAGGGCCACATGTGGCCTCAAGGTTGCAGGTTCCCCACCCCTGACTAGTCCATATATCTCAACTTGTATACAAAAATGGCACGAAAAACTTTGTCAAATGCTTCATAAAATCCAAGTAAGCCATATCTATGGCAATGGTTTCCAAAATGAATTCCATGGCCTGACTCCAAGGGGTATAGGATCAACCAGTTGGAGGCAGAAAGATGAGCTGCATCTCACCCTCCTCACAACAGCCAATTTATGGGGCTTGTCTCCAGTACAACTACCTCTTACTCTTATCTACTCCTTGACTGTCTCCTCTCTATGCTGTGCAAGCTCTCAACCTGCCCCCTTCTGTGTCTGTGCTGGCTCCTCGGGGCAGTTATAACCTAACTGCTACCCTGATACAGCACATCTTTGTAGGTACCAATGAGGAAATTGCCCCCCATCCTAAACCCCACATCCCCTAGTGGGTAAAGCACCTCTCAAAAGGCAGACTCTGCAAAACACTGCAATCATTAGTGAATTCTAGCCTCATCTCTTCTCTTTTCCTTGTAGGTGGGACAGAATGGGTCTCACAGAATAAGTACGAACAAGCAGATTGTGATCTGCGTTACATGCTCATTCATTATATTATCTCTACCCAATCTGCCTCTGTTCCAAACTTCACTGTTACTATTCAGAGCACCACGTTTCTAGAAACCCAGGTTCATAACCTCAGCGTCTTCTTGGAATCCTCACTTTCTCTCATCCTACTAATTAGTTACCCAAATTCATTATCTCTAGCTCTCCAACTCTCAAAAGTCCCTGTTAATCTACTTACACAGCCATCATCCAAGTTTAGGCCCATATCCCCTTGCACAGACTACTGTATTACAACAGTCTCTTAACTGATGTTCTTTTCCTCAAGTCTATCCCCTTGTCAATCCATCCTCCACTTAGCTCACACAGTGATTTTCTTAAAGCACACATCTGTGCTTTAAGCACATTACCTTACTCAATAAATGCCAATGGCTCTCTAGTAACTCTGCAATTAAATGTTTCATCTTTATCTCAACTTTTTAATTTATATTTTTTTTTCATAAATTGTATAACGTACATTATTTGTAAAAGCCAAGTATGCTGTATCTTGGCAGTGGTAAAATGAGGGAATAAATAAACATACTTTGTAAATAAGTAAATATATACACATTCTTAAAAATAGCTAGCATTTACATTGGTGCTTTAAAGTGCTTTACAAATATATTCTCATTTGGTCCTCAAGACAACCTGAGAAGTAGGCGCTATTATTATCCCCATTTTATAAGTAAGGAAACTGAGGCAGGCAGTGGTGAGGTGACTCGCTCTGGGTCACACAGCTAATGGTTGTCTGAGACAGAATTGAACTCAGGTGTTCCCGACTGTAGATCCAGTGATCTATGCACTGTGTCACCTAAATATGTGTGTTGGGTGGGGGAGAAGAAGAGAGGGGCAGAGAAGAGAGTCCTCAAAAATTTTGTACTGATAGAAGCGTGCTATCAAAAACACTTGAAGACCAAGGAATTACGACATTTCCATAGCTATTAATATCCCTATCATAAAAAAGAAAATGAAGTTAGGCATGACTGCTTCTCAAGCTAATGCTCACAAACCATTAATAATATGTTCTATGATTTTGACTAGAATTAAAATCAAGCGCAATGGCTTGTAGTCTGAAGACTAAAAAATCAGGACATTTATCTTTAAGGTACTATCCTTCCTATCTCTCCTATTCACTTCGTAACAGCATGTGAAATAATTGGCAGAATGATATAAAAGAAGGTGGGTGAGATATTTCATGGAGATGACTTTGTTCCTTTATTAGGGTACAATCTTAAGAAATGTCTATAATAAAATGAGAGGTGTCTATTTTATGTGTAAAAGCATCTGTCACATAAGGATATGCCCTTTTCCTCCCATACTTCAAAACCAACCAAAGCTGTAAAAGACCATATCCTGCATATGAAAACTCTGTATGGGAAAGCTGATAGTGATCAGCTTCAAATTAGTTTTTATAAAAGTGCCCAAGTGGTCAAGGGCTAACATGATACCTTTTTTAGTTTCCTCTGCATTAAATGATGGGGTTGGACTAGATATTCTCTAGATTTTCTGCTAGTTCTAACATTCTATGTTTTTATGTTTATTCCTTACAGGGTTTGAATTTGCCTTGGATTTATAATTCCTATGGGCATTCTTTACTTCTTCTTTGAAGCTGCATTATTTCATGACATTATTTGGGAAATTCTTAGACACCAACAAGCATACTCACCTAGATCCTCTGAAGTATCCTCTGGATACTTTCTTTTCCCATGGCCATTTCTTGGCAGACCTAAAATATACACATGCCAGTCAGAGATAGCTATGTCACCCCTCTGTCGAAAACTCTTCAATGGCACCATATATGTTTATGGAAAAGATGTTCAACAGTGTCAAATACTTGAGATAAATTAAGAAAGATGAAGAATAAAAAAGATCACTGGATTTAGTATGAGCAGGATGTCACCAGTGACCTCAGAGTAGTTTCAACAGATAGAAATTAGACAAAGACAGAAATAAATAGTAAAGACAGAATTCAGTTTTCAAGAGAGAGAGAAGAGAGGAGGAAAAAAAGTAAGGAAATGGAGATAGTGAGTAAAGATAACCTTTTCATGAAGTTTCACAGGAAAAGAGGGGAGACAAATTGGACAATAACTGTAAGGGGTAAAAAATGCAAGGGCAAGTTTTTTGAGGTTTGTTCATTTGTTTTTTGGAATTGAAAAGACTTGAACATGTTTGTAGCTGCATAGGAAGGAGGCACTAGAAGGTAAATTTCAGGAAGGCAGGGACCTTGTCTTATTTAATATTTTATATCTCTCCTAGTACCTTTCATACTCTGCATACACTTCATTGCTCAGCAAACAGTAGCTGATTAAAGTTTATTGAACTAAACTGAATACTGGGGTTATCGGATGAATAAATTGAATCAGTCTTGCTTTACTGAGTTTCCAAAGAGTACCATTAACCTACTCTGTTTCTATATCACAAAGAATCTATAGTTTTTTACCTTAAAAGTGGCTTTTTTACCTTTCTCAGAAAAAAAAGCAACAATTTGAGAATAGTTGAATAAAATATAGCATGAGAATGTAATAAACTATTACCACACTATAAGGATAAGTGAGGAATTCAGAGCAACATGGCAAGGGTGGTATGAAGTGATAAGCAGAGCCAAAAGAACAACAGGCACAACGACTGCAACAATGTAAATTGTCAGCCTTACAGAGGCAACAAAATCCTCGTCAAAAACAACAGTCAATGTTACTACCACCCTGTCAAGGTTAAAGGTTGTATCCCTCCTGTTAAGAACTGAGAAACCAAGAGCTTTTCATGAAATGTGCTTCATAAGGAGCTTGGGGGAATGTGTGCTGTGTTGAAACAATATGTATTAACAAATTAAAAATACAAGTCAACAAAAGTAGTTAGATAAACGTAAGTACTGTAAATTTCATTATTACTCTAAAATATGGCCAAATGTGCAATGAATGCCCATAAACTAAGTTGTTATTTTGATGTACTGGCAAAACAGGGTAAAAGCCCAAGTCATGCTCCATGTAAACACTGCCTTGGACAAACCTCCCTGGTTTGAGATTCCCGTTATGACTTCTTTCTAAGTTGTTCACTTTTGTCTTCTTAGTTAATAGGTTCTGCAAAGGAAACAAATAGAAGAGGGAAAATATACCTCTCTGAAAATCTCACCTTGCAAGATCTTCTCTTAAAAGATCCCATCGCCCAAGACCCGAAGGATAAATTGGCCAAACAGCAGGTCCCCCTTCCCAAAACGTCCATGCAGGATACATGATATCATGGTACTCAGAGGTCTTCAACAGAAACATAAAAGTCACTCTAAAACAATCTTGGGATGAAGTGACAAGAACCCAACTATAGTCATTTTCACAAATTTCCCAACAAGGTCTTCATTTTTTCAAGTGTCTTTGTTGCAGAAATTTTGTTCCCCGCTTTGTAATGTCTAGAAATAAAATGGCAAAGCTGGCTATGGGTGAATTTAAATTACTACTGTTTTACTAATGGAAAAGATGAGCATAAAACTGCTGGGTTTTTCAATTCCAGACAATAATTCACCAATGTGAATTGTAGACTCTCAGTATAAGAGGGTCGTCAGAAGCTGTCAGGTTCCATTTATGATTTCTTCTTTCTCTGAACACTTGCTTTAAATTCCTTCATGCATATTTATCTTGTCTTCCCAACAACACTTAAATTCCTTGAGGCCAGGAACTATGTTATATATATTTGTTTTGTATCCCCTCTCACCTCCTGAGTGCTCAATAAATACTGACTAATTAACAAAACAGAATCTAACTTACAGTAGAGTAAGATGGGATGCTTAAAAGGGACAGCTAGGTGGTGTAGTAAATAGAGTACCAGGCCTGGAGTCAGGAAGACTTCTCTTTGTGAGTTCAAATCTGGCCTCAGACACTTATTAGCTGTGTGACCCTGGGCAAGTCACTGAACTCTGTTTGCCTCAGTTTCCTAATCTGTAAAATGAGCTGGAGAATGAAATGGCAGTGTCTTTGCCAGGAAAACCCCGCTAGGGGTCATGAAGAATCAGACATGACTGAAATGACTGAACAACAACAAAAAAGGTAGAATGCTATCCTACTTTTCAGGAAGATCTAACTATCCTTCCACTTTCTAGGTTGACTTCTGATGAACCTCTCTTATTGGTTATATTCGCCTTTCCCACTTCTCATGTGCAAATGGGAGAAAAAATTCTTTCTTTCTTCTTTACCATAATGGCACACACAATCCATTCAGCTCCTACCATATACCATACCTATGGGGATTCAATAAATGTGACAATTACATTTACATGGTAAAATCCTCTTTCTACTTCATGTTCTAGAGCATGCAAGTAAACACTGCAAACTGCAGGCAGGTCGAAAAATGGAAGAATTAGTTATGGTTCTTCTTGCCGTATCATAGTGAGAATAATCATAAAGCACATCACAAGCCTTGAGTACATGTTCCTATCAGCTTTCATAAGATGGCTCTCCTTGCACCCGTGAATTCCTTTTTCTCACCTTGCTGAAGGAGAACACTGGAATGATAGGTTCCATCCACTTAGGAACCTGAGGATAATCCCGCACATTGATCACCATCTCCATGTCAGGAAGATGATTAATAACTTCCAAAATGAAGTGTTCTACACCGCTACACCTGTCAAGCATAAATATCACAAATTCACCACAGCAACACTTTCACCAAGCCACAGGTGGGGTCCCTATTAGGCTCTGAAGGAAGAGCAAAAACATAACCATGTCACTCAGCAGTTGGGAAGGTTAATGTTCCGGAAGCAGGACCTGTTCCACTTTATACAGTTAGGCATTTTATCTTTTTGGGGATAAGCTGTTCTGGTTGCTGAATAATTATTCATCAACTGGTTCCCTTACTACAAGTTTTCCTAGACAAATACTGATCCTTTACTTCTGCTTTGGCACTTCTCCCCAGTTGGTTTTCTCGAAGTCTTTCAGTTTTAAGGTGTTCTTGGTAAGTACCATCCATAGATGCACAAGTAGCAGGGTATAGCAGCAAGGACTGGCCTCTAGTCCTGGTTCTTCTACCACCTCACTTTCATCTTAATCAAATCATTTAACCTCCCTGGGACTCGATTTCCTTATCTGTAAAATGAAAGGACTGGATTTGATGATCTCTATGGTTCCTTCTAGCTCAAACTTTCTATATTCCAACTCTGACCTTTACTAGCTATGTAACCCTGGACAAGTCAATTAACCACTCTGAACCTCAATTTTCTATAAAATGGAGAAACTACTTGTACTATGTACTGCACAAGGCTGTCATGAGGGAAGTACTCTAAACCTTAACAAGCCAATGGAATGGGAATTATTATTGTTATTATGATTAGATTTGAAACCTAAGTCGTTACTGTTCTACCTTACCCAAAGGTTTGGCTTAAAGCTGTAATATAATTCCACCATTTTAACTTCATAATTATGAAACTCTCAAGGTGTTCTTCTATCCTTCACACTACTTTCAATAGCCTTTACAGACCACTTCCATCCTCAATTTCCATCACATGCAACCTGAATACAAAGACAATATTAAAATCAATTTATGAGTCAAACGTTATCATAAATAGTATCATAAGGCACCATGTTTAGGTTTCCTTAGAGATTCCTTAGTTTCAAAAACATGGCTATACCAGTCATTCAACAACCACTGATTAAGCACTTATGATTTGTAAATTAGTATGCTGGGGAAACAAGGACCATATAAAAATAGTGACGGTATAATGCCTGCCTTTCCGAAGACAGATTCTGCATGTCTCTTTCATCCTCTTCCCTATCTGTCCCTTATCCCCAACCATGCATCCCAGCATCATACCAGAACACAGTCTATGAAAGAAAGGTTACATAAAGCTTATGAATAACTCCTAAAAGCTACATTATAGAAGAAGAGTTAAAACAGTGTAGTACATGCTATTTTTCATTTGGGGCCCTTCAAAGGGTCTCTGTCCTTTACCTTTGCTACAAACATAAGTTCAAATAAAAAACTTTCTAGTATAAGAGCAGGGACCTTGCTAAAGAATCTTTTGCCTGGTCAGAATCATCAGACTACCTGAAAGCCACAATCAAAAGGAGATCCTGGATAGCATCTTTCAAGAAATTATCAAGGAACACTGCCCTGATATCCTGGAACTAGAGTCATGGAACGAATCCACCAATCACCTCAAGAAAAAGATCCCAAAATAAAAACTCCAAGGAATATTATAGCCAAATTACAGATCACGTCAAGGAAAAAAATACTGCAGGTGGCCAGAAAGAAACAATTCAGATATTAGGGAGTCACAATCAGGATTACACAGGACTTGGCAGCTGCAGCATTAAAGAATCAAAGGTCATAGAACATGATATTCCAGAAGGCAAAGGAGCTAGGACTACAACCAAGAATCACCTACCTGATGAAATTAAGCAGAACACTTCAAGGGAAAAAATGATTATTCAATGAAATAGAAGGATTTCAAGCTTTCCTAAGAAGAAGACCAGAATTTAACAAAAAAATTTGATCTCTAATATCAAGACCCAAGAGAAGCCTAAAAAGGTAAAAATGTAAAAGAAAACATAAGGGATTCAATTGAGCTGAACTGTTTACTTCCCTACAAGGGAAGATGATACTTGCAATTTTTAAAAATTGTACCACTAATAGTACAGCCAGAAGGAATATAAATAGAGGGTACAGGTATAAGGTGAATTTGAGGAAATGACATAAAAAAATTAAAGGACGAGAAAGAGGAGTACACTGGGTGCAGAAGGAAGGGAGAGGCAGAATGGGGTAAATTATTTCACATGAAAAACCTATTACAGTAGAGTGGGAGATGGGCATCACTTTAACTTTACTCTCCTAAGTACTGGCTCAAAGAGGGAATAATATACACAGTCATCTGGATATAGAAATTTGTCTTACCCAACAGGGAAGTAGGAGGGGAAGAGATTAAGTAAAGGTGGGGGATGGAGCAGTGGGGTGCTGACAGAAGGGAGGGTAGACTGGGGGAGATGGTGGAACATAACACTGGTGAGGAGGTAAAGGATGAACGGAGAGGACAAACAGGAGGAAAAATAGGATGGAGGGACATATGCAGTTAGTAATGATAACTGTGAATGTGAATGGGATGAACTCTCCCATAAAACAAAAGCGCAGGGCAGAATGGATTATAAACCACAATCCAACAATATGTTGTTTACAAGATACATATTTGAAGTAGAGAGACACACACAGAGTAAAGATTAAGGGGCTAGAGCAGAATCTATTATGCTTCAGCTGAAGTAAAAAAAAAAAGTGGGGATAGTATTCTTGATCTCAGACAAAGCAAAACCAAAAACAGATCTAATTAAAAAAAAGGAGGAAGGAAACTACATCCTGCTAAAAGGTACCACAGACAATGAAGTAATATCAATACTAAATATATATGCACCAAGTGGTATAGCATCCAAACTTTTAAAGGAGAAATCAAGTGAGATTACAGGTTCATGACCAAACAAGATATAGGATTATTAAATGTAAAATGATAATTTTTATTACATTAAATTTAAGAGCTTTTGCACAAACAAAACCAATGCAATTAAGATTAAAAACTGAGGGGATGCTCATCAATTTGGGAATGGCTGAACAAGCTGTGGCATATAAATATAATGAAATACTACTGTATAATAAGAAATGACGAGCAGGCAGATTTCAGAAAAACCTGGAAAGACTTATATAAACTGATACAAAGTGAAATGAGCAGAACCAGAAAACAATCTTTACAGCAAGTGTCTCTGATAAAGGCCTCATTTCTCTAATATATAGAGAATTGAATTTATAAGAATACAAGCCATTCCCCAATTGATAAATGGTCAAAGGATATGAACAGACAGTTTTCAGATGAAGAAATCAGAGCTATCTACAGGCACATGAAGAAGTGTTCTAAATCACTTTTGATTAGAGAAATACAAATTAAAACAACTCTGAGGTACTACCTCACACCCATCAGACTGGCTAATATGACCAAAAAAAAAAAAAAAAACGAAAACAACGAATGTTGGAGAGCATGTGGGAAAACTGGGACACTGATGCACTATTGGTGGGGTTGTGAACTGATCCAACCATTCTGGAGAGCAATTTGGAACTATGCTCAAATAGCAACAAAACTGTGCCACTACTAGGTCTGTATCCCAAAGAGATCATAAAAAGAGGAGAAGGACCTACATATGCAAAAATATTTACAGCAGCTCTTTCTGTGGTGGCAAAATATTGGAAGGAAAATACTATCCATATCCAGATAAAGAACTGATGGACTCTGAATGCAGATCGAAGCATACTTTTTTCACTTTATTCTTTTTCATGTTTTTTTTCCCCTTTTGATATGTTTCTTCTTTCACAACTGTGACTAATATGTAAATATGTTCTACATGACAGCACATGTATATCTTATATCAAACTGCCCATCATTTTAGAAAGAGGGGAGGAGAGGGAGAGAAGGAGGAAAATTTGGAACTCAAAGTCTTGTAAAAATGAATGGTAAAAATTGTCTTGACACATAATTGGGAAAGAAATAAAATATTATTAAAAAAAGAATCTTTTACCTGCTCATGAAGCAAAAACTTTATGCTCCCTTTTGAACAGTCCTACAATTCCTTGAAATGAATCAAAATGAATTGACTCTTGATAAAACCATTCTCTGGGCCCATGATTTGCATGGTTCAGAGGCTTTGAAAACTTAAAGTGTTCAATAAGTATCAAATAGTAGATATGGTTGCAAATTTGCATAGTGACTATAATTTATGAATATAATTTATGTGTCCTTACATTTGTTTCTAGTATCTGAAATAAAATTCCCTCCTTCCTGGGAATTTATTTTACACAAAACTTCTATTTTCTTGCTCCAAAAATTTTTTTTTAAATGTTATATCTTTTTTTTTTTTTTTTACATAACCTCAATTTCTGAACATATCCCTCTCCAGTCAAGTGTGGTTGTGAACCCCTTCAGTCCCTGCTCCTAAGGACAGTAAGGCTGGTAGATCACTTCATTAGATTAGGAGATCTGAGCTGCAGTCAGGCTAAAGCTGACTAGGTGCTGAATCAAATCTAGTATCATTATGGCATGGTCCAGAGAGCATGGCAGGGGGAAAAGGGAAACGCATCAGGCTGCCTAAGTAGGGGTGAAAGGTGGGACTGGGTCTGTGAATGCCTGGTCTACTTTCACCTGGGGTGAGATAGAATAGCCATTCTCAAAACACACACACACATACACACACACAAACACACAGTGTATATGCATGCATATATATATACACACACATATACATACACACACTATACATAATATGTGTATGTGTGTGTGTGTATATATATATATACATATACATATATATATATATATATAAATATAAAATATCCAGCAGAAACAAATTTATCAGTCAAGTCTGACAATATATGTAATAATCCAGATCTACAGTCCTCCACTTCTGCAAAGAAGAAAGGAAGGTGCATTTTTTCAACTTTTCTCCAAGGCCAACTTTTCTCTCTTGCCCCTAACCACTGTCTGCTTAAAATACCTTGACAATTTTCTCCAAATAAGCCCTTTAGTACATCTTATTTCTGTACCATTATTCATGCCAGTTATTCCTACTTTCATCTCATTCTCTAAAATAGCAAGAGACATTTAAGTGTACAAAGGGTAGAGTAGTTCATATCACAACATTACAAAAGAGAGAAATATGTTTTTGAGAAAATGGGCCCTTAAAGAAAGATTATTATGCCCTCCAGTTTCTGCAGTTTCAAAAGTTGTTCAAGGTTTTTTGAAAAAGGAAAGATGCCAGGGGCAGCTAGGTGGCACAGTGGATAGAGCACCAGCCATGGATTCAGCCATGGAACCCAAGTTCAAATCTGACCTCAGACACATAACACTTATTAGCTGTGTGACCCTGGGCAAGTCACTTAACCCCACTGCCTAGCCCCCCCCCAAAAAAGGATAGATGCCCAAGTAAGAGACAGCTTTTTGGTTTGTAGCTCAGGATGTTTCTTGACATCTATCCACTCAATAGAGGCCTTCTTAACACCCATTCACCTGATGGAGGCCTGGCACACTCAAAGACCTATCCTGCTACCCAGTTGCCCCTTGATCTCCAATTTGCTGGCATGCTGACTCAGGCCTGCTGCTGAAAATCAATGAAGCTTCAGTTATGCCCATGGGTCACCATAGAGTAACCTTCAATTACTCTTTTTCAGTACTTTACACACTTCTTTAGCCTGACCCTCTCCTGTTAGTTCCTTTGGATGCCTGCTTGCCATGTCTGGTCAGTCAACATCCTGCAGATATTTTCTGTATGGATGGGAACAGGTAGAATTACAAACTAGACTAGAATGCTTCTAGCAGCAAAAAGTTCTGAAACCTATTAAGTGATAAGAGCTGCACTGCGCATCGGTGGACCAATGAAATCACAGGGTGCTGAAGAACTGAAGGTGAGGAAGAGTAGAGAATAAATTGGAAGGAAAAGGAAATCAGCCAAAGGAGTGATCTGTGTATTCTGAAACTCTGGGTTCTAGCTCTGGCTCTGCCTCTTACTACCTGGCTGAGTGACCTGGAACAAGTCATTTAATTTCTCTGTGCCTGTTTCCTCACCCAAAAAATAAGAATCACTTATACCACCTAGGTTACAGAGTTGTCACGTGGACTAAATGAGACGATTTATTCACTTATAATACAAATATTTATGGAGCACCTACTATATGCCAAGCACTATGATGTGATAAAGTGATAAATCAAAGGAAATGCTTTGTAAACATAAATGCTAGTTACTATTTATGGAATCAGTGAAATATGAGGACAGTTCACAGAAACTGGGTTTATCTATAATAAAATGTGTGTCAATGCCAGAAGATAGAAAAATATATTCTATATGTCTCTTACCTTGCAGGAAACATGCAATCATGTTCTCTGTACAACTCGTTCTTGATAATCTGATAGTGTGTCCCTAATTTCCGGCTAACCACACTGGCTATCACCTCTTTAGAGATGCCTCCTTCGAAGGGGGCCAAATCCTTCTCCATGACACTGAAAAAGAATGAAAATCACCAATGGGTATAAACTGTGGGGAAGACACCACTTTGTCTTCTCCCACTTTTAATACTTGCTGTCATTTGGTATAAGTAGGGATGGCAAGTGGACAGCTCAAATATTCCACTGGTCTTGTAACTAGTAGAAAAAGGACCTCTGGCACACAGGATAGATCCAGTGGTGAACTTTTGGGAGCACATAAAGAGGAATAGCACAGGATGGGCAGGCACAGATAAACTGCAATCAGCACTGTTAGAGGAAACATTAAAATCACAAACCATTTGAGAATCTGAATATTGGAGTTAGGATTAGAGACTGCAATGAGGAAGGGGAAAGGACACAAAGCCAGTGTTTCATATGCATATAACTTTTCTCCTATTAAGGTAAGGGTTCTTAACTCCAGCTTTGTGAACTTTTGAAATATATTTTGATAACTGCATTTCAATAAAAATTGTTTTCTTTTGTAATACTATGTATTTTATTTTCTGCATTTAAAAACATTATTCTGAGAAGAGGTATTGCCCACGGGGTCCATGAAACACAAAAGGGTAAGAACCCCTAAATTAAGGGCTGCTAGATGATAAATATAACTTTAAAGCCAAATACAAATAAAAAGCAAACCTATTTATGGTCCTTCCCCCACCCTGCAGCTGAACCTCGTAGCCCATTCTAAAATGCCTTTCCCTACCCTATAGCCTTCTAGACTCAGCTCAAGTCCCACCTTCTCCATGAAGCCTTTCTCTGCCTCTCACAGATTATCCCTCCCTCCTGTGAGCTACGGAAATACGATCCAACACTTAGTTATTTATCGTACAATATTGTCTTCTATTTCCTGTGTTCCACTCTTGTCTATTAAACTAGATTAGAAGCTCCAGGAAAGCAAGCAAGATCATTCTTATGATCTTAGATTTAGAGCTGGAAGGGACCCTAGAGGTCATCTAATCCAACTCCTTATTTTACTACAGGGAAACTGAGATAGAGGGCAGTGAAGTGACTTGCCCATAGTCATAGTCACACTGGAAGCCTGCATCATTTTGAATGCAGGCCTTTTGAATCTATATCTACCTCTTGCATATTTAAACGTTAAATGCCTGATCTTTTTTTTTGTTGTTGTTAAAGAAAGAAACAAAGGGTAATCCACTGGTCACAGCTCTCATCAAATTTTAAGAGACTGAATTCTGAATGAGATAGTCACAATAACTCACCCAGAAGAAAACTATTTTCTCCCCTCTCTCTGAAAAGGTGAGGATAATACAGTCTTCCTGTTTTAAATCTTTTGAAAGATACTTGCCTAAGAGTGGATAAAAGGATGCTAAGTGCCCAAATACTGAGAAGTTCCCTATCCTACTATCCCTATACTACTAGGTATTAAGTTCTAGATTCAGAGTATTTGGATTTAAGAGTCAGAAGACCTGGATTTAAATATGGGTTCTGCCACTTACTAGCTATGTCACCTTGGGCAAATGACTTAAACCCTTGGGCCTGGGTTTCCACATTTGTAAAAATAAGGGGGTTGAAACAGATAATTTCTAAGATCCACACTAATAATAAATACCAAATGAAAACAAGACACTCATTTTTGAGGCTTGTCTAGCACTTTATTAAAAGTTACCTGAAAAGACATTCTGATCTCCATTTATGGATTCTAAATCTCCAAAGAGATTAAGCTCGGAACATATGTATGACCTATTCATGAAACATCACAACCAATATTTGGGCAAGGAACAAAATCTGCCAGGCAATAAGCAGCATGAAAGAAAACTCACCTAAGGTGACAGCTGCAGTTTTCCCTTGGACATGGCTGGTAGTTCTCTACAGACTTGTTAATTTGTTCAATGAATCCCTTCCACTTTGGGCCTAAAGAAGGAAAGTCAAAGCTAGATGAACAATAACAGTAATAATAATGTAGTGCTTTAAGGTTTGCAAAGTGCTTTACAGAAGTTATTCTCATCTAGTTTTCGTATCAACCCTGGGAGGTAGGTACTATTACAATCTTCATTTTACAGATGACAGAAGTTAAGTGTTTTCCCTACCCTATAGCCTTCTAGACTCAGCTCAAGTCCCACCTTCTCCATGAGGCCTTTCTCTGCCTCTCACAGGTTATCCCTCCCTCCTGTGAGCTACGGAAATATGATCCAACACTTAGTTATTTATCGTACAATATTGTCTTCTATTTCCTGTGTTCCACTCTTGTCTATTAAACTAGATTAGAAGCTCCAGGAAAGCAAGGAAGGTTGCTTAATATTGCTCTAGTGTCACATAGCTAGTGAGAGGCTGGATTTGAACTCGGGTGTATCAGAATCCAAGTCCAGCACTCTGTCCACTGCCCAGTTACCACCCTGCTAACTAACGCAACTGCACAGAGGTGAGGGATAGCCAAAACATGTAGGGTTGGGATTTAGAATCCAGGAACCCTGGTTCAAATCCCACCCTTTATCTGTGTGATCTTGGGCAAATCATTTAACTTCTCTCATTCTCTGATTTCTTATCTATGAAGTGAAAGCCTTGAACTAGATGACTCTAAGACCCTTTCCAGCTCTAAATTTATGAGCCTATAAATATTTAGCTGGGTAGGGAAGGTAGGAGGAAAGATTCTTCACTATTGTTATGCATCATTTTCCTCCAGCAATTCCACAGGTCCTAAATGTCTCCATTCGCCAGAAAAACATCAAGCCTTCTCATCTCACACACGCCCTCTCATTCTCGTTTTCACACTGAATCACAGAACCACAGACATTTATTCAAACTCCTACCAGCCTTTAACGCTTCTTTCCCTTTGCCCTCTGTTCTCAAAATCCTTTGAATAAAAACATCAACTAAGCCTCAAGCGTTTGGATGCTTGTCTCAACGCGCCTAGCTTAGCGGCCCCCGACAGATCCAAGGCCGAGGAGAGCACAGCAGCAAGGCCACGAGCGTTTGGGGTCCCGGGGTAACCAATCTGCTCATCTCACCCGGGGGTCCTGGGCACTGGGGAGTTCGTTACCCTTTCCGTGGACCCTACAGCTCCCAAGCACTACCCCAGCCCACACGGAACCACATTTCACACCGGCTCCTTTGCTTTCTGCGCTCCTTTGGTCACACTCATTCTATGACCCTCCCCCCAGTGAAGTGCTCGGGGAGGCAGGCTGACCCAGGGACTGGCAGGGGGTCAGCGCTGGGCTCCGGCTCTGCTGCCCGCTCGCTGTGCGACGGACCAAGTCCCGTCATGTCCGTGGGGCACCGACCACTCAAAAAGAGAGGGGGAAACCAGGTGACTTCAGACGCCCTTCCCAGCTCTAACGATCGGTGACTCCGGGACTGCGCTGCCCCAGCCCCGGACCCCGCCCCTCGGCCCCAGCCTGGCCGCCAGCTCCCTGCCCGCAGCCCCCGCAGCCTCCAGCCCCGGTGCAGAAAGAGATGGAGGCGGGAAACAGCTGGGACCCTCCTCCTCACGCCGAACCCGGCCAGGCGAGCACGGAGCTCCCCCGGGGCGCTCACCTGAGTCCTGCCTGGTCCGCGTCGCCGGGAGCAGCACCATCAGCACCCGCAACAGCCACCACGAGGGCGGCCGCGGCGCCATCGGAGAGAGCCCCCTACCCCTCCCGTGGCCCAGGCGGAAGCGCTGCCCCGTACAAAGATGGCGGCGGGGGGCCGGCCCAGGTGGGGCTGCGTTCTGCCCGCACAGAGATGGGGACCAGGGGGCTTCCTCTGGAGCCCCGAGTTTGTGGACTGGTGGAGGACTATTCGGTTGCTGAGTTTTGGGTCCCCCCCGCCCTTCCAGCTGGCTCGTGGGGGATGTAGACAATCGCGATTCCACCCAGAAGTAACTGATTAACTGGGCACATCTGGGCTCGCTCCTCCGAGCTCCCCTCCAGTGCTACGAAGCTGACAAGGGAGCTAAAGACGCTGGAGACCTAGCAGTTTGCAAAGCCAGGAGGAATGAGCATATGCAGCTTCCCTCTAGCCATCTCTGACCACCTCCACCCCCACTGCCACAAGTGCACGTGCATGCATTCAGCTTCCCTACTGTTGGCATCACCATACTTCCCAACCTCTTAGGGTCACAACTCTAGAGTTATCCTTGACTCTCCCCTCTGCGTCAACCTCCATATTAATTAATCACCATTTATTAAGCATGTACTATGTGCTCGGCATTGTACTAGATATTGGGGACAAAAAGACAATGAAACCTCCCTGACCTAAAGTTTACACACAGGGAGAAACAACATGTGCACATGTGAATAAATGAATGGATGAATAAATAAATATACACACAAAGTAAAAACAAGGTAATTTTGATGAAGAAGGAGGCTGATAATAATAATCTAATAGGTCTCACAGTGGATGGACTGTTGGGCCTAGAGTTAGGAAGGCATTTTTTATTTCGTCTGGCCTCAGACGCTTACTAGATCAACCTTGTTTGCTTCAGTTTCCTCATTGGTAAAATGAGCTGGAGAAGGAAATGGCAAACCACTCCAGTATTTTTGCCAAGAAAACCTCAAATGAAGTCAGAAAGATTAGGGCACAACTGAACAACAATTTTTTTTTTAATAATGGTTTAAGGTTTGCAAAGCACTTTACAAATAGTATCTCATTTGTAAATACTATAGTATTTACAAATAGTATACAATAGTATCAACGCGCCTAGCTTAGCGGCCCCCGACAGATCCATGGCCGAGGAGAGCACAGCAGCAAGGCCACGAGCGTTTGGGGTCCCGGGGTAACCAATCTGCTCATCTCACCCGGGGGTCCTGGGCACTGGGGAGTTCGTTACCCTTTCCGTGGACCCTACAGCTCCCAAGCACTACCCCAGCCCACACGGAACCACGTTTCACACCGGCTCCTTTGCTTTCTGCGCTCCTTTGGTCACACTCATTCTATGACCCTCCCCCCAGTGAAGTGCTCGGGGAGGCAGGCTGACCCAGGGACTGGCAGGGGGTCAGCGCTGGGCTCCGGCTCTGCTGCCCGCTCGCTGTGCGACGGACCAAGTCCCGTCATGTCCGTGGGGCACCGACCACTCAAAAAGAGAGGGGGAAACCAGGTGACTTCAGACGCCCCTCCCAGCTCTAACGATCGGTTACTTATAGTATACTTACTTATAGTAAGTATACTATAGTATTGATACTATACCGGAGATACAAATAGTATCTTTACAAATAGTATCTCAATAGTATCTTCACAAGAAACCTGGGAGATGGGTTCTATTATTATCCCCATTTTCCTGAAGCAGCCAGTAGTTAAGTGACTTGCCCAGGATCACACAACTGCTAAATGTCTGAGGCTTGAGTTGAAGTCAGGTCTTCTTGAGTCCAAGTTTATCCCTCTAATCCACTGTGTCACCTACCTATCTCAGCAGGTAAGGGAGAAAGTAATTCACAAAAGGCTTCACTAGCAAGTAGCACTTGAGTCTCAAAGGAAGGCAGGGACTCTAGGAGCTAAGGAGGAAATACTTTTCAGGCATTGGGTACCTGGGCATAGTTACTCTCCTCTCTGCTCTCCATATAGACCCACAAGAGGGAAATAGAATGTTCTGTACTTAGAACAGTTTACCTGGAATGTGTGTTTAAGTATGGTGCAGTAAGCCTGGAAAGATAGGCTACAGCTAGGTTATGAAGGACTTTGAATAACAAAGAATTGTGGATTTTATCCTAGAGGGAATAGAGCCTCTGGAACTTTTTAAGGAGGCCTGTGCCTTGATCAGGCTTTCACTTTAGTAATATCACTTTGGCTGATGTATTGAGAATATATTGGAGACCAGAGAGACTGATTAAGACTAATTAGGATGCTATTTCAATAGTTTAAGTTAAAGGTACTGAAGCTTTGAACTAGAGGTGTTTCTCGGTGCTCATCAAATGTATTCCATTGCCCTGAGGATTTTCTGTCATTTTAATTCCTGAGATCATATTTTCTATAATCCATAAGAATAAAGCATGACTGACAGAATTTTGGTGATAAAGAGATAGGCTTTAGCAATGGTCAACACTTTGGGATCATTGAAAGGACTGCAGTTTCCCAAATGCAACCAATTTTGATTTCTTTCTCTTACTCAAATCAAGGATCAGGGCATTCACCTGTGGTGCTAATTAAATGTACTGATGGATTAATTTAATGAGCTGCCTATCCAGGTGCATGTCCTAAGCTGAGTGAATTTTTCCTCTACTTTATTTTTCTAGTACTGGTGGTTAGACCTATCTCTTTAGAATTCTTGTAGATTTTCAGTGAGGAGTTTTTGTAGTGTTCTAGGGCCTGATAAAATTAGTATGATGCCACTTTCATTTAGAAGAATATGGAACCTTACCAATAGGAAATCAATTTTCTTTGAACCAAAGCATCTCCCATGAGACCAGTAAATACTTTTCACAAAGATACCTTTCCCTACTTAACACATCAAATAATGCCTGTACTCAGTGGGTCAAAATTAACTCTATACTATTATTTTGTTGATTGTCTACACTTAAAAGTGTTGGAGAAAATGTTAATAATGCATGTTAAACTTAAAAGTGTGCTGTATGTACACTTTCCTCCAAGAGAAACAGTTGTTAAATATTAACCAGCACACCACTGTGTATAATCTTAACATATATGAGAAACACCTTTTTTTGAAGAGCCTTATGCTATATTTTGTTCCAAGTAAAAATCTTTATTGAACTCAGTAAATGATAAAAACAGCATGGTGCTACATTCTCAACACTTCTCAGTTATGTGATCATAAAAATGTGATCTACTGTTAAAAAACATAATACCTATAAAAGCCTATCTGTTCTCTTCTCATGTTTATGCTGAGAAAATCCTTGTTGCATGCATAAACCATTCACGTAAAGATTTTCTAGTTTTATAAAGCAACCCCTTGATAGACTTATGAGATAGCACGAAATCTG